TTTAGATAGAGGTTTGTCCTGCTTGTGCCAACATTTGTGCCTTGTTCGCAGACCCTCCCCTCAAGGAGTACACAACCCAAAATACAGACGCGTCCTGGTGATGTTTGGGGTGAGGTGAGTGTGGACGTGCTGAGCACCTGGCTCCCACGCAGTGTGTAGAGCTGAGTGTGTGTCAGCCAGGGCGCTGGGTGGAGAGATGCGATCACACAGACGAGATCAATACTCTTTGCTGCCCCTACTGCAGCTGGGAAAGGCTGAGGCCTTGGCTGCTTGATAACCCACCAGCCAGAGGTGGCCGGACAGCTGCTCTCACGAGGGGCTCGACTGGTTCCATAAGTGTCCCCAGAAGAGAGCCAATGTGCAAAACTGAGAGTGAGACGCCCCAGAGACAGACTGACTCACGTGAAGACCTCAGGAATAAAGCGACCCAGGCGTTGCCTCTGGAATGAATTTCCCTTCTCCAGAGGTATGGATGATCCCAGCACCTGGGAGGCTGAGGCAGGAGGATTGCTGTGAGTTTAAGGCCAGCCTGGCTACATAGCGAGACCTGTCTCAAAAACACAAAAGTTGAAATAAAGGTGTGGGAACGTAGGCCACTCCCCGCGTTCAAGGCAGTACAGGTGGGCAGCTTCCGTCCCCCAGCCGTCCGTCCCACCTCCTCTACGCCATTCCTACTGCAGCTTCGACTTCCAAGCATTTCCGGATTTCAGCCTAAATCCCCTTCCTCTGGCCATCTTTCCAATCCCTACCCTAAGACCCCCCAAATTCGTTCTCTTAGCCCTCTCCTCCCTCATACTCTCCTCACTGTATCCACACCTTTTGTGTAAATGTCTAACCGCAGAAGCGACTTTGAGCGTGAGTTGTGCAGAGCTGTGTGAGCCTCACTCCCAGGTTTCCTGCCCTGCCGCCTTCCAGTGCCTGACAAGTGTTAATGCTCCACAGATTTGGCTTTTTGTCTATTTAGTCTGTTTGTGGTGCTAAGGATGGGACCCAGGGCCTTAGCACTAAGCCACATCCCCCACATCCCCGGCCCTTTTTATTTTTACACTGAGACAGGGTCTCTAAATTGCTGGGTTGCCTGCATGGGGCTGGGACTTGCAGTCCTCCTGCCTCAGCCTCCCAGGTGCTGGGATTACAGGTGGACATCATCATGCCCGGCACGGGTGGAGTTAGATGGATGAATGGGTCAGTGGATGATGGCCGGAGGGCGACTGGCCGCAGCCGACTCTCGGATTCTGCTCACCTGGCTGGGACACCTCAGAGCTGCCCTGCTCTGGGCGTCTGGGAAGCAGCCCCTCAGGGCACACTGCAGCATTTCCTTTGTTCGCAGCTCGGAGTGGAGGCCCCATCCGGTCCGTCCTGGGCTGGGAGCCTCGCCGAGGACCCACATCCCTTCCAGTACCTTGGCTGCCGATCTGCCCTGTCCATCTGTTTGCGCAGCAGTGCTGCCCGCGGGGGGTGAGCTCCTGGCACGGTGGCTCTGCAGACGACGCCAGAACTTGGCAGGGAGCTGCGTCCACGGCGGACACTGGGTGTGCAGAGCCCACACCTGTGAACCCGACAGTGTGAGCCCCTTCCGTGCCCATGCCCAGAGGAGATCTGAACCCCAACGGAAGATGAGACCCTGGCAAAGGCGACTCTGGGTGCCGGGGATGCGGGTTCCGCACACCAGGGCACAGCCGCCTGTCGCACGTCCAGTGCACACGAGACAGGTGTGCTGGGCAGCCTGGAGAGAGCAGGAACTTACCTAGGTAAAGGCAGTGCTGGTGCTGGGGCCATGCGTGCAGCACAGCACCCTTCAAGGACACACCTGCTGGAGGAGTGTGCACACTCACACACTCTCACACAGACACTGTGCACACACCCCGTGGCAACGCTGCCTGTGCACAATGGGCGGTGCCCAGGAAGCACTAAGAAGGCCGAGAGCCAAGTCTCATGGCGTGGATTACACTGGCAACAAAGAATTGGTATTTCAGGGCCGGGGATTTAGCTCAGTGGTTTCGCCGCCTGCCACGCAAGCGCAAGGACCCAAGTTCGATCCCCAGTACCGAAATATATATATTGGTATTTCCTGGGGGCTGAATGAGCCAGGGAAGTTGAGGATGTGAAATCCTGGTTAGAAATACACTATCGTTGGCTGGGGATGTAGCTCAGTGGCAGCGCACCTGCCTCACAAGTACAAGGTCCTGAGTTCAATCCCTGGTACTGGGAAAAAAAAAGTGGAGTGTAGAAATGCACTGTCCTTAATGTGGGTTTTTGCCTCCAACACCATGTAAAGAAGGAAGAAAGGGAGGAGGGAGGAGGAAGAAAGAGCGGAGGGAGAGTCGCAAGGCACCTTTGCAAGACTGACGGGGCACACTGGCACCTCCTCCTCGATGGCACCGAGGGCAACCTGTCCAGGTCCAGAGCCCTCCCGGCCACACTAGAGCCAGGCGCCAGGACTCCAGTGCCTCTACCCCAAGCCCGTGGCCTCCGTCTGCCCCGGCGGCCAGACTGCCCCACACATTTCCCAGACGCCGTGATGCACCGTTGCCCCATTATCCTGCGCAGATTTTGCCAAGAAATAAAGGTTGGGTGGAAAAGCTGAGGCCTCAGCTTCTGCACTGGCCCAGCCCTGACCCAACTGGAGATGTGGCTGTCAGCTCCTGCTGCGCCCGCAGTCAGCACTGCCTGGGAGCTGAGGAGCCAGCGCAGGGGACGGGACTGCAGCTGTTAGCATCACAAGCCAGGTGGAGAGATCAGACAGAAAAGACATAGCAGCAAAAAATAATACACCATGAGCAAAAGGCTCAGGCATAGCAGTTAAGAATATCATGTGTGCCAGGCGTGGAGGGGCACGCCTGTAATCCCAGCTCTTAGAGGCTGAGGCAGGAAGATCGCTGTGAGTTCAAGGCCAGGCTTAGCTACAGTGAGTTCAAGTCCAGTTTGGACTACATAGCAAGACCCTGTCTCAAAATAAATAAATAGGGGCCAGGGATTTAGCTCAGTGGTTCCACTGCCTGTCTCTCAATCGCAAGGTCCTGAGTTCGATACCCAGTACTGAAAAAAAAACAAAACACCTCATGTGTTCCCCTTTTAATAAAGGCTGCGGGATAAAGAGTCAGACAGTGAGAGGTTCCCCACTCGCTGGGAGCCTCTGAGAGCGAGCCGGGTGGCAGCGTCCATTTCTCCACAGCAGTAACAACCACAGCCTCTCGCCGGACACCTGAGAGCACACCTGTGATCCTCACACCGGCCCTGGGACCAGGGCGGCGTTGGGGTCCTCGCCACCCTCCAGACAGGAACGCCACGGCTCAGCAGACCCGCCAGGCCTTGAAGGGGTGCGTGTTTTGGGGGGGCTTCCTAGGAAGTAGGGCGCCGGACAAGTACAGACTGGTTCCAAGGCTCCGGGGACCGGAGAGACGCGAGTTTTGTTGGCCCCACAGTCGGCCTTGAGCCCGTAGCTCAGGGTGACCCCAACCTCGTCACTGTGCTCACCCCACTCGCAGGTTCACTGTGGAGATGATGACTCCCCAACCCGGAGACTCGCTGAATAAAGGGGGAAAATAAGCACTGCCATTCCCGGCCGTTGGGCTGCGGGTGGGGTTTTCCAGGGCTCAGGGGATCCGGAGCGGGCACAGGGCCCAGCTGCTCACCCGCAGGGCTGCAGAAACACAACAGACACTGGAGGGACAGTGGTGCCCGGCCAAGAACAGCACCACGAGGACACTAGGTCTGTGTGCTCCGCTCCACACCGCCCGTCCCAGCCCAGATCGAGTCGGGGTAACGAGCCCCTATCTGGCCTCTTTCTCAAACCGGGGCTTCCTGGAGGCTCGGGTCGCTAGAACCCGGCAGTTGGAGCAGGATTCGAGGAGTCAAGGAATAAACAAACAAGGACACATGGGGTTTGGTGACTCCGTGGACACTGACCCGTCTGCAGCAGGTTTTAGGCGGGACCTGAGCATGCAGGTGAGACTTGGAAGAGCGGGGAAGAAGGAAAAAGACAAGTCAGATGAGGGCAAAGGGTGAAAATGTGTGGTTTCCCATCGCTGCACCAAAGTGGCTCAAAATAATACACATTTATTCTCCTGCACTCTGGAGGTCAGAAGTCTAAACTCCAGCCGTCTGCAGGGCTGAGCATGCTCCACGGCTCCTGAGAGAATCTGTTCCCGCCTTTCTGGGGTCTGGGGCCACCTGCATGCCTGGGTTCGTGTCCCCATCCTTCCCCAAACCCCAAGTCCTCTTTTTACGGTTGCACCTGCTGACTCTGCCCCTCCGGCCTCTCCACTCGGACAGCCCAGGACACTGTCACGTGAGACACCCTCGGCTCTGTCCTCAGTCCTGAGGACCTCAGCGGAGGCCACAGTTCCGCCTGCCACAGAGGCACTGTGAGGGTCAGCCCAGGTCTGGCGAGGCTCCGCCCCTGCCCCTGGCCTGGACTTGTGTAAGGGCCAAGAGCCCTTAGCGCTGAAGGTCACATCGCTAAGAACACCGTGTTTTAAAGATTTGCCTGGCAACTCTGCCGTGACTGGCTCCCGCAGATGGCATCTCGATGGGGCCATGGCACCCAACTCCTATGCAGCAGCAGCCTCTCTGTGGGCACCGCAATCTGCATTTCAAAGACAGGGAACTGAGCGCGACGGCTGCGTGGCACTCACGGGCAGAACTGCCAGGTCACGGAGGAGGCTGTGTGGCCAGTGGACAACCAGGGCTGGAGTCCAAAGCTCCATTCTGCCCTTCACCAGCTCTGTGACTTTGCCCGAGTTACCTCACCTCGCTACATTTCATTTCCGTTTTCTCTAACATGAGGCTAATAATAGCTCCTACTTCATAGGTTTTGGTGAGGATTAAATAAGACAACACTGGTGAGGAACATGGGCGCACACAGTGATCATACACAGTGGCTATTATTGTGACAAATCCCCTCCTCTTTCCACAACCTTGTCCTCGGAGCAACCATCTGAGATCATCTGCAAAGCCAGCTCTCGTGTCAACACAGGACACAAAATCTGAGTGTAAAATATGCTGCTGACGATAGATTTAATATCTTCCAGCACACAAGCTTTCCAGCTCTTCCCAATTTAAAATCATTAAATGTCTTCAGGATGTATGTGAGGGCTGGAAAAGTGTACAAAGTTAAATTCCAGCTCCCTGTTGTTCTCAGGATAATTTCCTGTCAACCCTAATTATTCCTCCAACAAAGTCTGGTTCCGTCCAGACAGGTTACACTGTGAGAACAAATCCAATAGATGCAGCTTTGGTGTCAGTCAGCACAGACTGGTTTGTATAACTTTGGGGCCAGGAATCGTCTGCCAAGGCATCTGAATGAACCTGCACTTTGTGCCCATTTCTGGGAAGAATGAGTGAATGGGGGCGGCCTGCTGGCCGCGAGCCCCTGCTGGTGCCTGGCTCCCCAGCCTTCTCCTGCCTGATCCTGTGGGAGACACACATTCTCTCCTTGTCTCCAGAGCCTGCGCCACGTTGGAGCCTGATGTCTTCCAGTCCACCAGCTCTGTGCTCCACCACAAAATATGAAGATGCAATTCAAGATCAGTTTACAGCAATCCTTCCTGCTCTTGAAAATCACCTTTGCTGCTGGGCCTGCTGATAATCCCTGTGTCACTTCCCAGGCACGTTTATCAGGGGGCAGCGAGGCCGACTTCGGCTGCAGTCACAGGTGATGGTGCCGTCTGCCTGGCTGCCTGGAGATACAGGAGACAAAACCACACACAGGGAGAGAAGGTGGCACCGCCAACCCACCCGAGAGGGCGCTCCCCCGGGCCAGGTTCTGTTTGTGGACAGAGCGCTCGGCCCTGGACAGCCCAGCCTCTGAATTCACAGGCTCCACTCACCATGCAAACCAGTCCTGAAAAAGAAAAGAGGATCTCAGGCAGAAAAAGAGATTACAAATCAGGATCATTCGACAACAATGACCAAAGAATAAACGCTGGCAGCAGCGTGCTAACGGGTCTGGCGGATGCCAGTCCTCCCTTCTCTGGCCGGCTGTGAGCACAAAAATCACCCAGCTTCCCAAATCCAAGGGGCTCGGCCCACCCGAGCTGCATTTCCATGTGAAAAGCATCGCCGACAGGAGAGCGCTGGCAGGGTGAGCTGCACTTTGCACACACAAAGCGCCTTTGGCACATTCCGCTGTTTTGCTCTCAGGGTCCAACAATGTTGTAACCCGCGACCAAAAAACAACAAATTGACGGCCACTTCCCAGTTTAAAACATGCCCTTTCCAATCCCTTCATGACTTTTAGCTTCCCTTTAGAAATCAGAGAACTGAAGTGAAAAAATATTTTTCCCATCACTGTCCTATGACTCTTAAAAGTAGCTTTTTCTCCCCCAGGCAATAAATGAAAGTAATTTTAAAGCCAAAATCAGATGAAATGGCTAGGCTTGGATCCCATGTATAGTAATGTGAGTTATTTCCTATCTCTTTAGATGGTTACCTTTTCCCCCCATTTAGCCTGTGTTTTACAGTTCAATAAATATTTTTCCAAGCGGCACTTGCCAAACAAAAGAATTTAGCGTCAGTGTTCCTCCTCTGACAAATACCCTTATGGTTGCGCACATGTGAGAGCCATTGATAAACAAATTACAATTCTGCCCCTCGAAGAGCTCAGCTGGCCATTCTGTCTTGCAGGATGGGTTTGTAAAGGTCTGGGTGTCTGTCACCCTCCCTAACCTTGTCTTTGTCAAAGGGATACAAAAGCCTGCCCGCTCGGGGCCCTTACGATACTGATTAGTGTGAGTGACAAAGTAGAGCCTCGAGTCCACTCGGCCCTTCATAATAAATCTATCAGAGAGTAATAGAATTCCATCAATCCTGCCGCATCCCCGAGGGCCGTGGGGCTGGGCCGGCGAGTGTGTTCCGCTGGGATTGTACAACTGTTATTATTCAATTACACTCTTTTCTTCCTAGTTAAAGACCATGATATCATTATCACTTAATGAATACATATAATTGGATCTGGACTCTGTGTTTGGCTGATGAATACTGCTCACTATTCTTTCAGCCTCAGCTCATCTTCTGACCATTTATTACCGACTTTTGGCCCGGCATCGCGATGACAAAGGGAATTTGAAATTAGCTGCGATTTTATTCAATGCTCAGTTAGACACGAAGACAAAATAAAAATTTGATGCCTAAATGAGTTGAGAATGGACTGGGAAGTTTTGCCTGACTCGGTGGCCCTGATTTACCCACACCAGATACGGGCACAAAACCCACAGACACAACACCCGCGCCGAGCCCTTGGGAAGCAACAAAACCACCCAGACAGGTAAACTTCCAAAAATAAGTTTCACTTTCAGCAATCCTGTAATTTTTCTAAGGGACCGGAGAGAAGATTTACTCTTTTAGCCTTGCTTTAAAAACATGCGCTCATTGTAAAGGTGCCCCGCGCCCACACGTAACACGTACACACTCTGAAGCCTTCGCTTCAACCTTACCCACCAAACACAATTTTATGATTAAATAACATTGAAATCTGACAAAGCAAAAGTGCTTCCCATCCAGTCTATTTATTATACCCAGGATCGAGTCCATCATTAAATTTCATCATACAGCGCACCCCAAAGGCCACGCGCCCGCCCCCGGCGTTGGCGGGAGTAAATGTAGCATGGCTCCGGCCCGCGCGGCCCCTCATTAATCCTAGTTAGCAGAGGCTGCCGGCCTGCAGCGCGGGCCAGATGCTCCCCGCAGAGACGCTCGCGGCAGCCGGGAATCACCGAGCTCCAGCTCGGGTCTTCCATACATCACTTCAAATTAAATTTACATTAAGTGCTGCTCCATCAGCCCTGAGAGGAGCTGACATCTTTGGAAATGCAGATGATAATCCATTAAATCCTATTATATACATGTCTTCTAATTTTACTTAAGCCCATGCATACGAAAGTATGGGTTTGTGTTAAAAATTAAAGACCCTTTTACTAGAACAAAAGACTTTATGAACTGTTGACTTTGGGAGGTTTTATTGCCGGGGCAGGCCAGTCTATCAAGGCCAGGAGACTTCTCCGTACAAACTGGAGTCCAGTCTTTGCGGGGTCTTCATGGTTTTTGTTTTGAAACGCAGCCCCCCCGCCCTCCCCGCTGACCCTCGGCTCTCCGCAGAGCATGATCTCTTCTCTCCCGCCTCCGCGCGGAGTCCTGACCACGGCTGCCTTCGCTGTCATCAGTGAGCCGGTGGAGCACATTTTGTCTCCTTTTGCAATTAAGAAAATATTTGCTGGCAGCTTCCAAACTGGGAACCAAAAGAAGACGCTATAAAATCATCACTCTGCAAAGCTCGGGTTTAATTAGCCTATTATCACATATGTTAATCCCTGTATACTTTCATAGTCCTTAGTCACAGCTACTTTTACTTTGATGAGTCTCTGCTAATTTCAAAGTGGTGATCTTATCAGTCCTGACCCTCAGCACTTAGATTTTTATTTAGCTGCAGGCTTTTATGTTGAGGTTTCTGTGTGATTTGTTTTTCTACAACTAAAACCTGAAATAATCTGAAATTGGAAAATATTCAGAAGACCATAAAATCAGTGATTATTTGAACAAAAGATTCTACCACAAGCCAGAAAAACTTCTACCCAGAAACACGCGCGCGCACACACACACACACACACACAATTAATTTAAAAGCTATTTATCAAACCTTTTAAATTTTAATCACAGTTTGGTTTCTCTACACTGCATTTTTACACATTAAAGCCATTTATTTAAGAATGTGCCACTGCATGTGTCTGTATTTCAACGAAAGTGCTTTCTAGATAAGAGTTAGAGCCCTCATCCCAGCCTGGGTGTTTTCCATCTATCACTTGTCTCAGACAACATCCTACTCATTCTTCGCTGCCTTCTACTTACGATGTTAAAATAGTCCGCAAGTACTGGCTTAATCAAAATTTACTCGAAGCAAAAACTTTTAACGTGCATATTATTATAATTCTCATTGTTATAATAAGGAAACAGAGTCCTCCAAATGTTAAGTAACACAGAATAATAAGTTTGCAAGTGCTGGAATCAGCTCATGTGTACAAACTGGTGCACTCCGGCCTTCGGTGAATGGACGCATTTGCTCCGGGCCCTCCCGAAAGATTTGGGAGTAAGTTAGTGAAATCTTTGCTTTCACTTCTCCAGACAGTTGTTTGCCATTTTTATCACAATACTTCATCCATGTCGCCCTCCGCCCTGGGCTCAGGGGCCTTCGGCCGGGCCGGGGGGAGTCAGCGTGAGCCGCAGCACACTCCCGAGGTCTAAGAGACAAACCCCGAGACTACTGCACGCCTCTGATTTTCACTCTGCATTGCACCCTCCTGAGAGCCACCGCTCGGCCGGGCCACTCTGCCTCCCGGAAACGTCCCTCTGAGCCCAGCCAGGTCCCCAGCAAGGAGGGGCAGGGAGCTGATGGACACACTGGACAAACCCGAGCCATCCGCAGAGATCCGGGCCGAGCACGGCGCGAACCCTGGCCGCCTTCCCCTGCCCCGTCCTCTGGTCAGCACAGCACCGCCCCTGCCCGGGCTCCGTGCCCCACCCTGGTGCCCACACGGACAGCACCTGCCTCAGCTCCGAGCTCTCCCGCCCAGCTCTCGGTGAGGCAATATTCCTCTGGCTACTGCCTTTGATTTATTTATTTACTTATCTATTTTTGTGGCACCGGGGATGGAACCCAGGGCCTTTGCACTGAGCTTCACCCCCTGCCCTTTTTTATTTTTTATTTTGAGACAGGGTCTTGCTGAGTGACTAAGTTGCCCAGGCAGGGTTTGAATTTGTGATCCTCCTGCCTCAGCCTCCCAGAGAGCCAGGACTACAGGTGTGCGCTTGCCTGGCTCGCTGCCTCGCCTTCGTCACAGTGGCTCCAGCTGTTTCTGTTTCTTTCACTTTGGCTTCGGGGTCGCGGATCACACGAGGGCCGTGCCCGTTCGGAGCACCGGCCGACCACAGCTGCTCCTCACAAAATGCATGAAGAAAAGAGATGTCTCAGTTCACGTCCCGGAGGCTGCAGGCATCGTCCTCCCTGACGAAGACCCTTCGGCCAGTGACCGGGTGGGGGACCTCGTGGAGGGGCCGCCTGGAGGACTGGGCCAGCGGGCAGGGCCCCTCCTGCTGTCCCCGCTCAGCCAAGCCACGCCAGCAAAGAATGGGGTGAGGGTGTCACAGCCGGGCGCCCAGGCCACTTTGCTCTGTGACGATAACCCACCCTCGGGAAGGCGAAGGGACCCACGGGCCGCCACGGGCCGGCGCCGCCCCTCTGGCAGCGAGGCCTGCGCTGGCCCTGCCCGCCCGCCCGCCCGCTTTTCCTGCGTTTGCGGTCACAGTGCTTACGGCCCTCCCCGCCACGTCCCGTGGAGCTGGCGCGCGACCACGGCAGTCCCCCTTCCCGTACGGCTTCCTCCCCTCCCTCCCCTCCCCTCCCCTGCCTGCGTCCCTCCATCCCTCCCATCAGAGAAAGCCCTCTCTGCCCGCTTCCGGTATCTGTCTTTCGTTTGTGCCTCGGGTTTCTCATTTAAGAGAGACCATGTGACGGGTGGGGACGCACGTGGTAAACGATCTGCGGGCCTGTCTGTCCCCACGCACTTGAGCTCAGAAATAACAGTTGCCCCGAACTTAGTGAATTTCATTTCTATGGATGAGATTTTACTTTTATTGTTGTCTCATCCATATATCAGATAGGATTGAGTTAGCTATGTGTAACAGAAAAACCCAGAGAACAGTGGTTTATAGAGAGATGAGAGTTGATCTTTTTCACATAACTAGTAGTAGACTTGGGGTAGGCACTTGAGGCAATCAGGGTGATTTGGTGTGTTGAAGATCAAGGCTGAATTACTTGGGATTCTTCCCTAATGGTCGCAAGATGGCTGCTTTAGCTCCAGTCATCCTGACTCACTTCCATGCGAGAGAAAGCAGAGAGAGCCAATGGCAAGAGTGCATGCCACTAATGTCACTAAATCTTTCTTTCTTTCTTTCTTTCTTTTCTTTCTTTTCTTTTCTTTTTTTTTTTCTTTCTTTCTTTCATAGTGAGGATTGAACCCAG